ATCTGTTTAGACTTAAAATTTGAAAATTGTTGTTTAACCTGACTATAAATGCATAAATATGATAAAGCAGTGAGCAATGTTGATGTTCCTATTGATCGCGCAGCACTAAACAGAATGATTCTTGGTCGAGGAGTACTTCAGAGAACATGTGATCGCTGTCCACTTGAGACGTTATGTAATAACAGCTATAAGAATGAACAAAGCACAACAATAATCAGCAGAAAGTATCGTCCCGAACCAGCACCCTACCGATACAAGTTGCTTTATTGAGTTGTCAGTCACTCACTTGCAGTGGTTTATTTTAAAATGTTTAACGATTATGCTGCACATGACAATCGCAGTGTGCATAAAAGCGATTTCGCTCGTTCAATATCCAAAACAAGAAGATGTCTGTTATCTTTGCGTAAGCCATTAATAATTCATAGCATCCATCCATCATCACGAATGAAATTGTAAAGTAGCAATGAGATAGGCTTTTGATAATAACAAATTGAATAAGAAATTGAAGTAGTGATGGTATTAGTAGTGGAAGGAACACTAGTGAATGCGATCGTAATAATGGTAGCTTGAATGAGCAAAGTATTCTCACGTTTACTATTATTAATTATTATTGCTAGCATTACTTCTATTTCTGTTCTTATCCTTATTACTACTGCAAACATTATCAGTAAGCCAATTGATCGAATCAATAGAAAGATATTAATAATTGTATTCTATGGAATTGTCTATTGTTGCTCACAATCGGTTAATTCAGCTGTTCTGATGATAACAATAATATGGAAATAGCACATTTCTGTTGTATAGCAGCAGTCATATTTCATTATGTAATACTCTACTATTGTGAATGTCGATGCCATCAGAAAGTATTTATAATTAACAATTCATTGATTTGAATATCATTATGAATATTAAACAGAGTATTTTTCGATGCGTGAACACCACTGCAATACGCTTTCAGCAGTATATTCCTATAAGCCCACTCACACTGTTGGAACTATGGCCTTTAACTGATGATTGGTTATTTTATATAAGTTAATGTGCATATTCATTATAATCGTTTATATTGTTGTTATTATTGAGTAGTGAGGTATTACTTCAGTTAATGGGAGCGAACGCAAGTCGAAATGAGCAGAGACCGAATGTGAGCAGCAGTAATGAATCAAATTCAATGAATGTAAAGTCGAACAAGTCGAAATGTATATCACTCGGATGGCGTCGCAAAAAGCAGTCCAAGTCTGCATCTCATGAAGAAGTTATTGAGGACCATTATCAACCCGCTTCCTCACAGCAACGTCTCGAACCGAAAACGTATCTTATTATTAATAGATGATTGATAAGTTTATTTATAATATCAGTGAACGAATACAATCAGGTTGGCGCTGTCACAAACACAACCGACGCTGCTCGGCTCAACGATGTTGATCAACTCGTGGAAAGTGCCGTCAACGAGCAACATCACACCACCGGTCACTCCCATCTCCAGCGATTCGAGTTGTTCCGTCGACACGTTTTCCCTTTCTCAGCCTACACAAGAGACTCTTATGCAGGTTATTATCATTATGCCGTGACCATATCATTGTCATGTGATTTCACTGTTGGAACGCTCTCAAACCAATCGGCATCTCTTTTACAATCGACGATTTCGCGACAATTTCAGTCGCCCGTCGAAGTGAAATCAGATCGCTGCCGACTGATGTAATTTTCGGCGATGCACGCATTTTCGCATTTAATTTTGGTGCTTTCACACGGGATTGTTTCTCTGATATTCACCACAGCCATATGCTACTCGACATTACCAAATCCAGTTTTCACATCCGAACCTCTGAACTAAATTTTAGACGTTTGCCAACACTTGCATATGTGTTTACAAAGCTGAATAAATACTCATTATAACTGATAGCATTCGTATTTTGAGCAATGATAATACGAATGCTAACAATAATCATTGATATTAAGATAATTCGGTGCTTTCCGTTTCCGTCATCACCGAATGCATCCACTGAAAATCTGGCATCGTCATCGTCGAAAACGATCAAATCGATTCAACCGATTAAACTCACGAGTAAGAACACAAGTAAAAACAATAACAGTAATTCTTCATCAACCGCCAATACAAGCAATGATACGAGCAGGCCTGTCGAACGCTCCAAAAGTCTCAATTATACACGGAAACAAGTCAATTCTTCACTTGCAAATGTATTCATTTATTGTCATTATAATTAATCTTGTTCATATTGTATTCATTCAATCAGCACTCACCCAATCTGATTAACACAAGTAGCAAATGAGTCTAAGGACTAGAAAAACAAAGTAGAACGTGAAGCGATGACCGACCGCTTGGAGTAATTTTTAAATGAGGAGTGTTGAGAGTTGAGCTGGAATACGATCGGATGAATAATGCGTTCGAGTGTAAGCATGAGACTAAGGTCCGTAAAGCTGAGTACAGTCATGACCTCAAACCAGTTTGCTTGAGCAGGCTTGTCGAAAATTTATCATTTCACTTGTCACAAACATAGCGAAGTGATAAATTGTTGTAAGCTTGCACACTGCACTCGACGCCAAACAATCGCTTTAACTCACAATGTTAATCCCTTGTAAGCTGTAAAACAAGCCTAGAGGCCAGTTCAAACCCAACTCGAAATAGAGTGCCAGAACCGTACAAGTTTCAGAGATGGTCCCAAGCAAGACTCAGATTTTGCCACTAATCACACTAGCAGTAAAAAACACTTCTAACAATGAACATTTCGCCCTACAATTAACACAATAAACGCACATTATGCAAATGTTTTCAATATGGTTCACCTATCCATTGTTCAAGAGTTGATTATAACCATAAATACAGGTACTTCGTAAAAGGACTGATAAAAGTAAGAAGATCGATTTGGATGATGATAATTCGGTTAAGCGCAATGCATCAATTGGAAATGCTATCGAACCGGTGCATCGGCGCAGTGCACTCGAGAAACTTGCTCAGGTTTGTTTCATTATCATTGATCTGAACTGCTGATCAACTAGTGTTAATTAGTTACTTAAATCTTTTTGTATAACTACTCTTAATTAACTACGAGTATAAGTAGTACTCGTCATAAGGGTGTTTATTCGATTCATATAATAACTGATATTTTCTTTATTTTATTTAAATACATAACCGATATATCTCACCATCACACTCATTTGCTGTTATGCATTTATTGTTTTTGCATGCCAAAAAAGTCTATCCATACGTCTGTATTTGTACATACAACGCACAGAAAAACTCGGCTGGGAGAGGCGAACCCCGGCCAAAACGTCGGAGAAAAACTGACTGTCGCGGAATAACCCCCTCAGAGGTTCCCGTTTCCCGATGAACAATGCTATTAGGTGTTTATAAGCAACAGCCGAATGCTGAAGTCGGCTTGGTATATTCCGAAGAAATCAACGGAACTATTGGCCATCGAGAATTCTTCGAAAACATCTTGTGCCGCCGAAATTTTAATCGTTCTGTTGATCGCCGAATGCGCTTTGGTGGTTCGGCGAAAATCCACCGAATATTTTTACAGCTACTCCGCAATCGACAATTTGCGAATTCCGTACTTCTTCATACGATGAAGGATCCCTGAAGTGATGAATTAATTAATGAATTTATTCACTGAGTTCTTTAGTCACCTAGTGATTTATTTATTACCGTGAATATCGGTATTTATATTATAATTTGTTTATTGATTGCTTTGAATACCTTTCTTGAATCGATGATGAACACCTTATTAATATATATGTGCAATGAAGATCTTCCCAAAACCAGTTTATTATTGTTT